GGTTCAAAGTATCGCTAGCCGATACGTATCGTTCCGGGACCCTTCCGATATGCCCCTACAATGGGTGTATTGGGGGTCTGACCGGTTTAGGGGATGGAGGGGTCCTAGACCGGCTCCCCTGAACCAGTTTTGAAAAATAAAAAATAAAAAAAAGGTAAAGAAAACAAGTATCGAAACACGGCGTATCAGGCGTATCGATATTTTGAACCTTGCCTAGTATGCTTAGGCTTCTTGCAATAATCACACACCAAGTCCTTATCTTCCCTTCTAGTCTCACTACTCCCCCTGCCTCCATTCGTTTTAGGTTTTGTTGTACCAACCATAGTCGACTAGTCAATCCCAGGTTGTCTCAGCATTGCATTCCTCCTACTCTCCTCTCCAGAGACAAAGGCATAAGCCTGAGAGAGTGTCACACCCACCCTAGAAAGAATATGCTGCCTAGCAATGTCAAATTCAGGGTTCAGCCCTACCAAGAACTTAAAAACCCTAATCCTCTCTACCAGTCTATGATAAGTTGCTGCATCATTTACACTTTCCCATACCACAGCTTCTAAGTGATCTATTTCCTGCCATAGGGTTTTCAGCATGGAGAAATACACAACAAGAGGTTTTTCTCCCTGTTTCATACTTATCACCTAATTTCTTAATTGATAGGCTCTGGCTTCATTTTGCTTCTGAGAGTAGGTTTCAATCACTCCATCCCAATTCTCTTTAGTAGTATTAGCCCATAGGAAATTTTTTTGCAATATGAGGTAACATAGAATTACATAGTCTGGACATTACCATGCAATTATCCTGCACTCATCGGGAAGAGTCTGTATCAGGTTTCTTCTCCTCCCCATTGAGATACCCTAATTTTCGACGGGCACCAATAGCCATCTCACCTGATTGTGCCCACTCCAAATAATTTGTACCATCAAGTTTTACTGTAGTAATGATCCCAGACAAAAAAATATCACTACTACCTCCAACACTCAGTCCCACAGTATTGGTAGATTTCATCTCGGTATTCCAACTCTCCATCTTACTTCAAATAGTTCAACAGTAAGAAAAAATAGATTGGAGACCTTCAAAAAATAATTTAATATCACACATAGAAACCAACCCTTTCGGAAGAAGAAAATCCTAGCTGGAGAGAAATCTCTCTCCTCCCCACGCCTTCCAACAGAGAGGAGTGAATCGATCATTCCGGGAGCTCAGAAAATTCCAGAAACCAAACCACCCTCTTCAGAAAATCAAAAGAAAACTAACAATACCTGGGCGCCCAAGATCAGATAAAAAACAAAGAGTCCAACTTTTCTGGGACTCTTCCCCGTACTCCAGTTCTTCCTGATTTTGATGCTGAATAGTAGATCACCTTCTTGATACTAGATCCCACCAAAAAATCCAAGAACTGGGCAATCTATAGCAAATCGATCAGCCCTTTACTACTTCATGTAGTTGGCTGATCTAGGGCTGCATTAGAATGCTTCAAGAAACAGGAGATCAGCAAATGGTTTTGCTAACGCCCTAGCAAAACAAGGGACTGCAAGGGAGAGTCTTTTTTGGGCAGTGCTGTAATGTTTGATGTTTATTGGATCAACCTTTTCTAATAAGGGTTGAATTCTGTGTT